ACCTCCTTGTTGCTTGCTCACTGTTTGGATTTATTAATGGAGGAATTTTCAAAATTCAAAAGCTTAAAGGCGATGCTTTGAGAAAGCAGGGCATTACACAGTTTTAATAATTCAGGCCTCGCCTTACTTGAGTTAATGAGAAGATGCACAAATCAAAGAGCACTTGTAAAACCCGCAAAGGACTCGCTTTGCAAAAGCTTTTCTTAACTTACAACGTTTTCATCAACAACAACTTGAACTTGAGAAAATGTTTACTTGTGAGGAATTATCTTGGGTCCTTATGCGAAAGAGGCCTAAGCCAAACAATCTCAACATAAATCTTACAACAATCTTTTTGAACACTATAGGTTATGCCTTAAAAATAGCTGCGTCCTTTATTAAAGGTTCTTAGATTGGTTTGATGGAGAGAAGAAGCCCCAATGGCTTACATATAATGAAGCAATGGATAGGAGCAAAAGAGGGCAATTGCTGGGCAAAAGGCTTTTTCATTTTTTTTTTAACAGTTTGGAATAAAAAAGTATTTGATCAAAAATTTTTTTTAAAATGATTGATAGAAGATGCGGAAGTGCAATTACATCGGCCTCTACATGCAGCGGGACATTGTTTTTAAATCACTGAATATTCTTCAATAACCCTGATATTGCCAAGGATAAGGAAATAGCTGATGGTCTTTATTCAATTGTATTGGAAGATTATCTCAAGATGTAGCTGAAGAAGATAAAATCAGTAATTGAATTAGTTTATACATTAGGGGTGAAGACTTTTTGGTATGTCCTCCAGCTATAAGACAAAGAACTACCCGATCTCCAGGCTATCATTAATTTACAAAAAAATTTATGACTGCTTTGTTATATAATATTGAAAAAAAATCATTTCTTCAGCTGATTGGGGGTTGGCATATGGACAGGAGCTCCCAAATTTACAAAGCTATGTGCTTCAAAGTCCTAATTTAACGAGTTCATCTGCGCAGGACGGCTTGAGCTCAGTTTAGACTATGTAGCAAGTATTGCTGACACCCATGTTATGTGTCGATGATTTTTTATATATGTGTCATAATATAGTAATGTAATTAATATTTTAATTGCCAGCTTCAATAGCAAACGAAGAAGCAAATGGATCATGTGTCGCTTAAAAGATTTAGTTTATTGTGAAATAGTTAGAGAGAGCATGATTCGGAGATTCAAGTCATCTGGATGTCATTGATCCTATTTCGTTTGAGCTGAGATAGATGACTGCAAATGCATGGACCTTAACTGGAAAAATTAGGATGATAGGAGTCTGATGAAGAAAATGAGTGTTATTGCTGGAGATGACAGATTTAACTGTGGGCAAGTGTTGCTAAAGCTACTGGTGTTTCAAATGATAAAAGCTATAATATTCGGGAAAGATCTAAAGGAAAGAAAAGATCTTCATTAAGCATGATGGTGCTTATGAGAATGATGATGAAGAGGTGATGAAAGAGATTATGAAGTTTGGAGACAATGTTGAAGAAATATAATGAAGCTTTTTAACATTTGCTGATGATGATGATTCCAAAGAAGAGGTATGATTAAATTCAATACTTTGATTTTTAAAAAAGATGTGTAATATTTGAATTATGAGATATTTGGATGTTACTTAGGTCAACTTATATATTTATGGTTGTCTTTTATTATTATGATAGTTTGTCTTTCATTTTAATAATATTTTCATTCATGCTTACTTATTTTTATTTTTTATATAAGCTTGCGCCATTGTTCAAATTAGCGCGCGCCGCGCCGTGCGCATATGCGCCATGGCTCCAAATGGACCTTTGCGCCATGGTGCGCCATTCGCCGTTAACAGGTAGGACTATACACTATTTTTATATGTCAAAATAAATTTTTGAATTGATAAAAATCGTTGCTATTCAAAATTACTTGTGAAAAATTTAGAATAAATACTCAAAATGATCGGAATAATCGTACTGATAACATATCAAAAGTTACACGGACAAAATTACCATAATATGATAAAACAATGTTTTTACAAATTATAATTTTGATTGGAAAAATCTCAAAAACACCGATTTTTTAAATTATGAGATAAGGCAAAATGTAGTATACATCAATCCGAGCAACTTTCAAAACTGAGCTGACAACTAAGATGACCTGAAGGGGCTCAACCGAACATTCTATCTACAAATGCCTCTTTCTCTCTCACTAACATGGCTGCCCAAGAAACATAACGAAAGGGAATAGTGGATTTGGATATTTTTAATATTAAAAATTGCTCTAGAAGTGGCGCCCTGCGACGTTGGTCACTACGCTCCCTATAGAATTTATAGCATTGTCTCCCATGTCGTACGCCGGAGCGTTGAATTAATTTACATTTTCCCTTGACTTCAACGCTGCAGTGCCAAAAGGACAGCGCGCCGAGGTGCTTTAGGGAAAATTCCGAAATTTTTCAATATGCATTTAAACCCCTGAAATCCACTAAAAAACATATGCAGACCTTCATATTCACACTGAACACTCTCAGACATTAGCAAAAAAGTTCAAGTGAAAAAATTTAACATGTTACCTGACTTCCAGTCATGCCAAACCAGTTTGAACAGAACTCTGAATCCGGAGGTCTCACATTAACAAACATCAAGAAAAGGCAATGGGTATGCTTTATGTAGCCTCAGACTAGTAACAAGATGTGTTGAGACATACTTGTTTGGTTAGTAGGCTCTTTAAAGTCGTCCTACGAACCAATGGTGTGACTCATTAGGGATAGGTAGGTTGGATTTAATGGCAGTCTAATATTTGATTGGTAGGATGAATTTCTTGAATAGTTGCAATCATTTTTGTTTTGAGTGAGATGTATAGTGGGTGGACTCCATGGTATTTGCCTTTATAAATGTTTATATTTAAGTTTACAAGTGGGTTAGGCAATCCAATAGGGAAATATAGGTCATTAGCCCACGGTGTGTAGGGATTGAATTTTTGTTGCAGGAATTTTGTGAATTCTACTAGGGATTTAAAATTTGAGTGCTAATTGATGTGGTGACTCCATAGGGATTTGAACTTTAGCTTTGTTTGCTTGTAGGTAGAGTTAAGCAGATTCCACTAGGGATAATTAGATTTTATTTATGGAGGCAACATCATTGGAAGGAGGGTGGGTGTTTAATTGTGTTGACCTTGTAGAGGGATCATATTGAAGGTGTTAATCTGACCTCATCTGGGAGGAGTTGACTAGCAAAACATTTAATTTAAGGGTATTTGATATGGTGGGAAAGTTGAAATGGTGGAGCATTATGGGCACAGGGGTGTAGCTTGTCCTTTAGATTTGTTAGCTTGTGGGTAGAGTTTAAACTAGATTCCACTACGGATAATTATGTTTTACTTGTGTGGAGGCAACATCATTGGAGGGGTTGGGGTTGGGGGAGGGGAGGGGGGAGGGTGTGTGTGTTCAAAACATTTAATTTAAGGGCATTTGATATAGTGGGATAGTTGAAATGGTGGAACATTATAGGCATAGGGGTGTAGCTTATCCATATTTCAGAGGAGCGTTCATTTTATCTCGTTATGAAGGGATAATTTAATCTCATCTTGGAGAAATAACTTAACCTCATATCAAGGCATCTCAAATGATCTGAGGAATTACAAACTCAGGTGCTTTTATCATTTTAGAGTAGTGGGCCATTTAGGGTAGTCAATTGTGTCGACCTCATTTCAGGAGAACCAGGGATCTAGTTGAGATGTTAGTTTAGCCTCATCCTAGAGATAATTATTTTAAGTTTAGCTAAAGTTAAGGTGGACACCCTAATATGTAGGCCTAGATTAATCGGATTCATCAGGTGGTTGAGACACATCTGCTAGGAGTCACTCACTTAGCCTGAGGTGGTCAGTCGCCCTAATCAGAGGAGCCACTCGCCCTCAGTGTCACTCACCCTATCTTGAGGGGCCGCTTACTTAGCCAATGGGAGAAACCTTCTTATGCTTATCAGGAACCGATGACTTCATCTACTCGGTTAATGATCTCTCATAGTCACTTGCCTGTTATAGCTATCAATGTGTACTCATTAGAATTCTAACTATTACGTCCACATGTCTGTAACAATCATATCATATATTTTCTTACTTATTTTTTATGAGAGGCTAATGTGTAGTTTCTCCTATAGCTTTCAAAACTTTATTAATGCAAGATCAAAGGGAATCATTTTTGCTAAACTCAAAACTTCTCTCTCTAGAATCCCATTTCTGTCTCTTTCTTTCCTTTCTTCTCTTCTTTTTCACTCTTTTTCTGCTCTTTGTTATGCCGTAACCTTGTGAGTAGAATTCAAATATTGCACACAAATAAATTTGGATCCAACATTAGGCGAAAGAAAAGTTTTATTTGCTCCAAAGTAGGATTTAAAATGCTACATGCTTGAGGATTTGAAAGATTAGGCACAGGGCTTAATCCTAGTGATAAAGGATTTTTAATCGTCATCATAATTTTATGGAGCAGTTGGGGATCAATTTGGTATCCCTAGAAATGTAAGATTGTCAATCTTTACTAAAATTTCACATTGAAATCTACCGTGGACGAGTTCTCAAGAAGTATATCTTTTTTATGGGTCCAATCCTTATGTGGTCAATTAGGTGTCTCACCTGGGCACAATAAGGGACCTCAATTGGTCACATGAGACAAACACACATGAGCATGCAAATTCTTATTCCATCTTCTTTGGATATAAAAAATTGATCTTTAACTTGAATTGAGCTTGAATTGTAATTATTAAGTCATGTCTGGCATGAATCAAGATTAGTTAGGGCCAACTTACATCTAGATTTGGCTTGGCTCAAGGTTTGATCTAATTAATTAAAGTCAATATTGAGCCATGTTCAAATCAACTTGAGATTGAATCTATGACAACATTATTAAAATTCCAATGTAAATTTTGAAACCTGAGCTACATTTATAGGCATCATGGACTTCTATTTTATTATTATTATCACAGTGCGTGTGATATCTATCGCCAAGCATCCTTCTAACTAAGGCCAATCGAGATTTTGTTTGTAAATTGAAGAACTTGTCTTTGCATAATAAAATAAAGAATTGGCCTACAGTATACATCAATAAAAAAATTATCAAATCTTGTGAAAAGCATTTATTGCACTTTATTTAGCTCTTCCTCTTCATGGATTATCTTCAAGGTTTTCCTTGGAGCAGATGGGTTTCTTAATACCTTCACATATTATATAGACCCGTTAAACAAAAACACATTAAATATTTATTATCGTCAAAATCAACCAAGGGATAAAATCTCTCTCACGGGGTTTTTTCCAGATCATCTTAAAAAGCAGAGAACAGTAACTGGGTCCTTAAATATTTGTTTGCTAAATTTCATGGTCAGAGATCTGCTTGAAAAATCTCAAGCTGAGCTTAGGTCATTCATCCTCGTGTGTAACACCCCACAGTACCCCTTAACAATACTGTAGAGTATAACAAGAATAATCATAACATTTCCAACACCAAACATCTCATTAAGTTCATTTCATTTCAGATCTATACAACATATCTTGTAAATATCATTTAATACAACAAATGAAGCATCTAATAATTTAAATACTTCAATTATAAACTTACAGAGCCACTACAGCAACCAACTAATACAAGACTAAAATATTTCATACCTCTAAAAGTAAACTTACTAATAAAGGTAACTTTAACATTAAAAGAAGAAACACTTGTATAAATTAGCTTGCATCAATCTTCTCTTTTCCCTTTCCTGTAATAACAGCTAGAAGAAAGTTCTGGTGAGCTATGAGGCTCAGCAAGTAATACAGAATTAATTAGCAATTACAATAGTATAAATGAATAATTACAACATCAAAATTATTATTGAAACATTATAAGTCATAATCAATATTATGCTTTGCTACCTTTTGAATCCTTGTTGAATATAAATTTTATGTGAAAGATTTGGCTATATTTTCATAACATTATTCAATGGAGCCCAAGTAAACATGGCATTATCGTCATTGAATTACATAGAGGCCCCTTTTGCCTCTTTTGGGATCCCTTTTGCCCCACCTGCTATGCAGGTTTCATAATTCTATGGGGTCCCTTTTGCCCCTGGGATCCCTTTTGCCCCACTTACCATGTAGTTCCGATATGGGAATCCTTTTGTCCCAACTACAATGATAAGGCATACATTATTCATAGTCAAACTTTACATTAATTTAGTATTCAACAATCTTTCATAATTCATATCATATCAGCCTTCATTATCATTCATGACATATCTCGTGTAAATTAATATGCATCAATTTTTCAAGGAATTTGACATCCTTCCAAAACATTCTCAAATAGAAAAATATTTAGATGAGCGCACAAAACATTGTCTTGAACCCATATGGTAGAATTTTATTAGCTGTAGTTCATACTTAAAATCTTGGATAAAACATTCTAAAGCAAAATAAATTACTTGCAACATATGAGTTCCTTTCTTTCAATCAGGCACTAACAATCAATTATCAATCTATAAGTAGAATTTGACAATATTCTTTTAAACATTAAATTTGCATTACTTACTTCTTTGGTGAAGAGTCTCTTCCAATCCTCTACTTCGTATTCTCCTACGATTGTAAGTCACCTACAAGTCATCACTCTACTTTATAATTACTGAAATTTAATACTCAAATAATTTGCATAAAGATCAATTCATACATAGATATAGTCATTTACCTCGTAATCTTACTTTTGCATATAACCAAATGAATATATTTCCTTCTTCTATCTATTGTTCTTTACTTCCACTTTTTCTTTCTACTGCTCCAAAAACACTACCCAAAATTACTGATTTTTAAATTAAATTGCACACTTGCATCAAACCAATTTGCTACATGAAGTCCATTAATCAAATTCATAACCTTGCAATGATTTTCTCATAATTACCTTTCAACCTTTGCCTCCCAGAATGTGTCGAATACTTCTCCAAATTTTCCTTGCAATAGTGTTTGAAAACAGTGTTGAATTTCTGCTTCACCACCACAATTTCCCTAGAGCCGAATTCAGCAAACTAGCCAGAATTCACTGTAGCGAATTCTGCTACAGTGTTTTCTGGGAATTTCTACAGATTTTTTTGTCACCATGCCGCTATCTTGCCACTGTATATATATATAGTTTTTTTTTTTGGATATTACATCGTGTACGGCAGTGCATTAAATATATCGAAAGCTACTTTGTTTTTGCTTATTGCGGGGTTAAAATGCATGTTGTCCTTGTCAGTGTCACGAGTTAATGTCCAAAATATCTCACATTTTCCCAGCACCCGCAATGTATATCGGTGAATGTCTGATCTTTCCACTATATTCCATCCATTCATTCACAATCATTGCTAGGTAGTGTTTACCTTGTAATGCATCTCATTATTTACTCCAATGTATTCTGCGTCGATAATTGCTGATTCATAACATATAAGTATTCTATACCTTTTTGTATGTCCTTGTGAGGACTGAGAACCTTGTTGTGTTGGTTGATAATGGAGGCAGAGCCATGCATATGATTTAACAAAAATTTAACTGGCACCTAGTACTGCATTGTATTGTCGTTGCTGAGCAATCCTGTGCGAAATACATACTTCCTTTTTCGTACTTGATATTAATTCACATTATCGTCCGAGAGACTATCAGTTGTACGAATATTTGATGGAGAAATTGAATGGCTGCTTCTTTCGTCGTGTGACTCATTTATGCTAACTAGCAATCTTAAATAACTGTGTTTTGCTGAAATTACTTTTTATCTCAGATACTTGTGTTTGTGCTTCCTGCATGTAATAAAAAAATGTACTAATACTTTTTTTTTTTGGTACTTTCTGATGCGGGGCCATGTAGCATTTATAGTCGTTCTTACCTAAGCTCATTAATTGATTTGCTGGGACCGTGACATATGGTCTCTGTGGAACATGAGATTGGAAGTTGAGGTAAGAAAAATAAAATATTTTAGTGGAAAAGTATTTTTTTTTCCTTTCTGATTAAATATTTTAATAAAGAAAAAAATTCATCCAATTCTTGACTTAGAGCTGAAAGCGAAGAAAGAAAATGAATATTATAATTAGTTTAATGTATATACTCTCATAGAAAATGAAGATACATTAGAACTCTTTTATTAAAATAGAACCAACTTGGGTATTATCAGAAAAATAATCAAGTGATTCCTTTCTCTCCATTTTCTGCTTGTTCTTACAGAAACTAAATTTTTTATATAGAGCTAGTATGGATGATAATGATCTTATAAGTTGTTGTCAAAGTTTTGAGATTAAATTTCGCTTTAAATTTGTTCTTGAACATTCCAATTTTTTGAAAAAAAAATGTGGGTTAACTTAGTTGATAAAGATGTTGGAAGTTGATGCCAATGTTCTGAGATTGATTCCAGCAAAATGAACTTTGTGCTTACCACTCAACTTTTCCTTGGGAAAAAAAAGAAAAAGAAAAAATATCTCCTTTTATCCTTTCTTTTTTTTTTCTTTTTATTTAAAACTCCCAACTGTTTATTTTATTTTTTTTAATTCTTTTACTTTTCTCGCCATATTTTAACTCCAATCAAAATGGGCTCACATTTTGGGGAAGATTTAACGATTCTGATATCCAATTCTGTGCCAGAATAATCATGTTTTCATAAGTGTCTCACCTACTGGCTTGTGGAAGTAATTGTACCTACCCAGCCTGGCTATCAGCATGCCTCAAACCATCGATTTGGACGTCATCTTTAGTTGGCAGTTCATAGGTTTTAAATCTGGCTCTCTTGATTTTGCACTACAATTATTGACTAACCAACCACATGTTCTTTCAGTCCCCACCTTTTTTTTTCAATAAGTTGATCCACGCGCTTGCTATGAGTTGAGAAATGTTTCTGGTAAGCTAATTAACCCAAAATGGATTCGTAATTACTCTTAAAAATGGAACATCTTGTTCACAATTGCATGTCTGTGCCATGAGATGGTGGTATATGACATAATGTTTAAACCCATGTCATGCATCGACATTTCAGGGGTGTTTGGTATCGGATTTATTTCCCGTTTTAAGTAGGATTTACGGTAAATCCAGCCAAACGCAAAAAAGGCGCTGAAAATCCGGCAAATCCGTAAATCCAGGATTTGCGGATT